CACACACACACACACACACACTAAATAAATGTAAAAAAAAAAAAAGATCTTAAGTGAGCTCATTAAGGCGATAATTTTTTAAATTAACATAAAAAAACAGTGAGTCCCTGAGTCAGCTGTAATTATTTCAAACACTTATTTGCAACAAAATAGTAACAATAAAAATATAAAATGCCTAGGATTTATCTTCAAAATAAACAGCAGAACTTACACGAAGAAAGCTATAAAATATTACTGACACATAAAAGAAGACTGGAAAAAGAGAATAACAGTTTTTGTGTGGGAAAACAATATTGAAAGATACTCAATTTACTTTCAAATAACTCTAAAGTCAACACAATATTGTTGAAATTCAGAGAGAATTAGTTATTAAAAACATGCTAAAATGATAAAAATTAAAAGGTGTAAACTAGTGATGTAGCTCAATCGTATAGCACTTGCCTAGCATGTGTGAGGCCCTGGGTTCAATTCCCAGTACTTAAAGAATAACAGAAAATACTTCTGAATGAGATAGAAATCCACAGTACACTTGGCCCGCCAGGCATTACAAGACAAATGTACAATAAAATCATGTGACATTGATTGTAGGAGCAGACTGGCAGAGTCCTAGAACTAGAGAGAAGGTATAAAAAGATCCAGAAATTACCCCACTTATCCCATTCCCATTTATCAATGGGGACCAGGCCTAGAGCTTGTTCCAGGATCACAACAGCCAAGATGGCAGTGGGCTCATGGCCAAACCTCAACCCAGAGCAACACGCCGCAACCTGACATGTCACTGGCTCAACTGGGAAGTGGCAATCATCCAAAGAGTCCCCATCACCACCATTTCAGGGTCCTCAGGGAAATATTTGCTCTCTCTCTCTGAAGGTAAGTAGAACCATTTGTCATGTTTTCATCTTTCTAAGTCATTGACCCTTAAAGAATTTGATGCAAGCCAGGCATACTTTTTCTGGTGCCTTGTAGCCCAGCCTGGAACTGAAAGGAGCCAGTGTAAAAACCAACACTGCTAGAACCCCACACAGTCCAGCCTGAGTGGCCAGCAGGGGGATTTCTGCGGCAATATCAGCTTTCTAGGGGACTGGCACCCAGGTCAGGCTTCATCACTAGGTCCTCAGGAATCTAACACGTAACATTTATTACTGTCTTTCACAAAAGGGCACTTCCTAGAAATGATCACTCAGTACCACAATGCACAGGACAAAAGGATTGTTTAACACACATTACAATAACAGCAATAAGTAGAACACAGTAGAACAAAAAGGATTATTTAACAAGTTGGGGCCAAGACTCTTCCAGTTGTGAGGGCTACTACACACGCTATTCATTGAGACTTATAATGCTGTAGCCATTTGGAGTTAGCCACAGGCGTGCTTTGAATGTTTAATATGCACCATTCACAGCTGATATTGTTGCCTCGGAAAAGAAATAAGATCTGGAAGGGGAGAATGGAACGAGTAAGTTAAAACTTCAGTTTTCACCTTTTACCTTGGCTTTGTCCGCTGGTTGAGAGTCACAATCATTGTCAATTTGGTGCAGACAGTTTTAAGCTATTGTTATTTTATTACATTTTTCAAAATAATTGCTTGCTTACACAATTCTGCATAATTCCAGAGCAAGCTGTAGTCCTTGCTCTGGAAAGTCAAGCTGCTTTTATAAGATATGAGGATGTAGTAAGGGTGCTGCGTATCACCACGTCCTGTGACAGCCAGGGCTGTGACTGCAGCCTTTCCCACACCCTTTTCTTGGCACAGGAGGCAGATTCCAACCATCACAGAGCCAGATCCCCTGGGGTACACACAATCTGCTGTGACTCACCTGGCCTCGCCTGGGGCCTCTGGGAAGACAGAATGCTTCGGCTCTGCCCAAATCGTTCAGTTTTGGAATATATTCAGGCGTCCTTCAAAACAATAGCAATAAAAAACAGAACTGTTCAATGAATCTAAGAACTGATTCTTATATAGTAAAACTTAGCAAACAAATTACTAAACTTCTAATAAATCTACCCAAGTACTGTGTTCTCAGGTACATGAGCAATCTCAGGGATAAGTCGGCAGCAGCTCCAGGTCTGCACAGCAGGAATACACTTTGTTTTTATCACTATGGAGAGCAAACATTTGGAGTGCATAGCCTATCAAGTGAACTACCTCATTTCTGCCAATTAGAGTTGAATCTTCTGCCATAATACCCTTTGAAACCCCCTCCACCTTAAAAATGTTTGATAGGAGACTAGGTTTTAAAGGGGTTGCCCCACGACTTGAACTTTGACTGGAAGATTGGAAATTAGTCTAAATAGAAAAG